CCCCAAAACCCCAAAACCCCAAAACCCCAAAACCCCAAAACCCCGAGGAGCAAATATAATAGGGGAACCAATCTGAATCAAATTCAAACAAGTATTTGCATAAAATTATGTGTGGATTGTGATAGACATTATTGCTCACTTCTTAACTAGCCAGGGGTCAGCCATGAACTCATAGAACTAGTCCTCATTGAAAGTGATGAGGCTTTGCATCTTGTTGAATCCAAAGGTTGGGGAGTGTGGGTCTTTCTTCTTCTTGCTACTCAGAGCTCCGTGATTACACTCATCCTCGTCATCAGTGTAGGAAGTTACTAAGTCACAGAACATTCCTCTTCTGCAGCCGTCATTGCAAGAATCCATTGGGCCATCTGGACCTCCCTTAGCATTCCACATGTTGAATTTCTTGGCTTCATTCTCATCATTCAAAATTCTCTCAGCATACTTGTAAACAGTCTGGGGAGACAAGTCTTCAAGTTGATAATCCTCAAGAAGATTGTGATACAGTTCCCATTCTGGATTTCCGAGGTTGGCCTTTGTGACATTGAAGAAATAAGTGGTGATGTTAACAAGCAGCATAGTTTCCTCATCAATTTCGTAGACAGCGAAGCTTGGATTCTTTCCAGTGTAGGTAGTGGTGGGAGCTAGGATTGAGTTGAAGGAAAGAGGTTTGGTGTTTGTCAGGTTTCCATCGACGTTGACTGATCTAGTCAAGAAGAACTTCTCATCGTGGGAGTGACCAAACAGACCGAATCTGATGATATGTTGATATCTGTCCATCAAGGCTTGGAATCTTGAACCCCAGGCTCTTAAACAGCCATGAGTTGGAATGTGACCTAGTAGGATTGCGATCTCGTTCTTTTGCTCCATTTCTTTAAGAGTGGCTTCTAACCATGCAAGTTCATCACCTGGATCAGCTAGGACTTCCCAAAGGTACCAGTTTTACTCATTGCAAGTTTAGGTAGTGACTCCAAGGACTCTAACCTTCTCAAATAGTTTGCCTTTGCCCTATAACTCAAAATATTGAGAATAGTAACCAGCTTTCTTGAAGGTTTGGAGAGTGTCATTATTGAGCCAGTGAGACCAGACTTAAGTGAGATTTTACACAAGATAGTTTGGCTCATTGAATGACTGAACATTGACAGGCCAGACATCATGATTGCCCTATAGTGGGTAAACCTTAAATTAATCCCCAAACATAGCCTTCATTTGGTTAGCAATGATATTATTGACATTAGCAACTTCTTCATTTGAGTTTTCCCAAACAGAATGAGCACTCATATCACCAGTCCAGAAAAGAACATCTGGCTTGATTTCATCTCTAACGAACTCAAACATCTTTGTCAAAACAGCTGGGGCGGTGTCGCATTGATAGTCTCCCCAAGGTCCAGCGGCATCAGCCGGGTTTGCGGGGTAACCGTTTTCTTCTCTGCAGCAAAGTGGCATGTTGCATTTAGCATTAGTTCCTGGTTTATAGTAGAGGTCAACGTGAACATCGGAGTAGTGGACTGCCTTGAAAGTGGCTCTGTTTTTGTTTCCCTTAATACTTTGATAAAGCTTGTGAACGTAGTCATTAGCCTTGATGAATTCTGGTTTATCACTAAGCACTCTCTTCACATAGTCGTCTTGACTGAGTTCTACGTACTCAGTGTCACAGTATGAGAGGACACGTGAACATAAGTAATCTGGTGAAAGAAGGAAGTTTGTGAGAGTGGGCACAATAATATCTCCCATCTCAGTAACAGCACCGGGGCACACAGTGTTGTTAGTTTTTTCGATTTGATCACAAACCAAGACTCCAAACTGCTCAAGAGCTTTAGTAATGGTCTTAGTTCTGATAGATGAGTCAAGGGTGTAGACACCAGCCTTGCATGCTTGACATCCTAGCCAAGATGATACCTCAGATCCAGTAGATTAACTTGAAGACTTGAGAGTATGAGAAAACTTGAGCATTGGAGTGACTTTGTCCATAATGTGCTTTGAAACTGTGCTCAAGAAATCTTTGCCCTCGTTCATTGAGTGCATGTACTCGAAGAAATTTTCCTTCTGATGTTCGTTTAGCTTGGCTGTTGCAGTTGAAGCAACTGCTACCAATGATAATATCAATAGGTTTCTCATAATTAATATTATAGAATTAAGATTTTGTTATTATAAGCTGTATTATAAAAAATCAATATGTGATAGTAATTCACAATTATCTCATATCTAACTTTACAGTGAATTATATTATTTTTTGCATAAAATCTATTTATCGCGTAGATCCTTCAAATCTTCATCGTTGGGGTTTTGGGGTTTTGGGGTTTTGGGGTTTTGGGGTTTTGGGG